AAAGAAAAAAGTTAAGGGATTCAAACCCCTTGTCTGGCCTCCACAGCCATTGCATACATGTAGTACACCTATATACATGCACACAAAAACATTCATACATATAAAATAAAAATTTTTAACTTTTTTTTTTGTCTTTTTGAGACAGCGTCTCTCTACAGTCTCAGCTGTCCTGGAACTCACAATGTAGACCAGGCTGGCCTTGAACTCACAGAGATCCGCCTGCCTCTGCCTCCCGAGTGCTGGGACTACAGGAGTGCGCCACCACACCCAGATAACTTTTTGTTTTTTTAACATTAAAAGAGAACTGGAGATATAGCTCAGTGGCAGAGTGCTGACCTAGTATATGTGAGGCCTTGGATTCAATCTTCAATACTACAAGGAGAGGAGGGGGAGAGGAGGGGGAGAGGAGGGGGAGGAGCAGGACCAGCAGCAAAGACTATTTAAGCAAGTGCCCAAACATATATGTTCAGGCAAGAATGGTCACATATACATTAGTAAGGCATCGCTCAACAACAGGACACTGTCTGAAAAATGTGTCATTAGGCAATCACATCATCACATCATCCTGCAAATGTCACAGAGAAATTATAAAAATGAAGATGCTCCAGCATCACTAGGCAACACATGTCAGGGACCACCATCCTCCATGCAGTCTATTATTGGCTGAAATATCCTAATGTAACAAGTGACTGAACACGTTCATGGCATTTTCTCCGGCTCTGGTCTCCAAAGGACCTGCTGGGCCAGAGAGCTCTTTGGGCTTTCATGTGGATAATCACTGAGGGAGCGAGTAAGGCTCAGGATTTCTTCTTGGAATGAGAGATTATTCAGAATGGGATGAGAAGATGAGTCTAGAAGAAAAAGCGATAGAGTAAGTGTAGATAACAGGAAAAGGGAATCTAGAGAGACAAAGAAGGTCAATCAAGCTTCTTGGTGTGCTTGAAAAATATGCTCATAGGACAGGAGTGGTTTGAGCCCCTTTTTCTTTGTTTGAGGCAGGGTTTTGCTATGTAGCTCAAGCCAGCTTGAACTTGCCATGCTCCTCTCAGCTTTAATTTGAAATTTTTCATCACACGGTCTCTGTATGCTATAATTACGCAGTGTGGTAGACTGAGACATGTGGTTCTTGGTCCCGGGTCTCACATGAGGGAAGTAATAACGGGTACACTGAATCAAGCATTCTGCTACTACCTTTCCAAAACAGTCCATAGCGGGAGCAAAGCACTGAACAAGTGACTGGTGGAACTATTTATCAGTAGCTGTGTGCCTATGAGAATTTGTGCCTGTAGCTAAATAAACAAAATCTTACAGAAACCACTGTGCATGAAAGTCATAGGGATTGCTACATGTATGAAGGAATTCAGTCAGAAATTTTCATGTCACTTAGCTAAACTCTGCAGGATAATACAGTTCTTTTTCTAATACTTAAAGGATATTCTACAATACTGACAATACTTTCTTCATCAGCCCTAGCTGGAGAGACTTCAACACACCGCACGAGCACTACTCAAGAATCACCATCATTTTCTCAGAACCAACATACCACAAGCATGGAGACGGATGGCCAACATGACACCAGCACCCTCACAGAGGTCACCACGTCAACTCTTTCCTTCTCCCCAACTAAACCCACTCTAACACAGACAGTTTCTCAGGGGACATCTTCTCTGGATGAAACAACTACCCAATTTGCTTCTAGTGTCAGAAACACACCCCCAAGTACTTCAGAGGTACGCGTCACAACACCCTCCACAGATTCCACTCCAGGAACCCCAGGGCACATATCACCCATAGTTACTCAAAGTTCTACTCCTGTTGCTGCTGGAGTCTCAATGACAACTTTACCAAATGATCTGTCAGCAATGCCAACATTCAGCACCTCTACTCAGGAATCATCAGCATTTCCCCAGAACCAACACACCACAAGCCTGGAGACCACCAGCCAACATGAAACCAGCACACTCACAGAGGTCACCACGTCAACTCATTCCTCCTCCAAAACCGGGCCCATGTTGACTCAAACAGTTTATCGGGGCATTTCATCTCCAGGTGAAACCACCACCTTCTTCCCTTCCAGTGTCAGCAACACATCACCAGCCACATCAGAAATGGTCATTCCAACAACCTCCACAGACTCCTATCTAGGGAATACACTGCACACATCTCCAATGGTTACTCAAAGGTCTACACTGATTACCACTGGAGTCTCCATGACAACTTCACCAAATGATCTGTCAACAGTGCCAACACTCGGCGCCTCTACTCAGGAATCATCATCGTTTACCCAGAACCAACATGCCACAAGCATGGAGACCACCAGCCAACATGAAACCAGCAAGCTCACAGAGGTGACCACATCAACTCTTTCATCCTCCACAA